GTTCTTAGATTCTTGCCTTACCGGTTGAAAAAGTGTATAGTATTGTTAAGGTTTTAAACATGAGAAAGTAGTGAGGGGAAATTGAAAAAAATGTATAATGAATATTATTTTTGAGATATCCAATAATTATATATAACAACATTTTTTTTTATGTTATATGCAACAATATTTATATTATTTTTAAGACAGATATTATATGAATATATATCAAATACATTGAAATATCTTAAATTAATTTACCTTATTAACCCAATATCAGAAATCAAATATATTATTCAATTTTAAATATTTAATCACTAATATGACTGATTCTCTCAATATTATGTCCACTCAAGCTAAATGTGATTTTACCAACTTACCGGAAAAAGCACGAACACTTAACACTAGTGAAGGATGAGAGGGACATTAAAAAACTGAACAAACTACTAAGAAACCACTGAAAATCACTCAAACTCTCAAAACTTAAATTGACCCCAATGGTGCCATGATCATCAATCAAAAGTATTTTGTCCCCTAAATTCAAGGAAGCTTGGTTGGCATGGAAATTGCCCAATTTATTTATTTGTTTTCCTAATAAATATGTTACCACAATGAAAAAAAACAAACTAGGACCATTGGATTGAAAATCAACGGAAGAAGGTGGAACCTACCCTTTCCGACTGCTACGCGTGAGATTGTTCCTCCGAAGATCGTGGCATTGAAGTCAAAGAAACACCAAATCTTTAATATCTACCACAGTGGAGTGGACTTACATACACATGATACCTAAGTTAGCTCACAAACTTAGTTCATTTTCTCAATTTTACCATCAAACTTATTTTCAATCTAATTAAGCCCAAATGCTGTGCATTATCAGTATGCCCAATTAAGGCCCAAGTCAACAAAGAAAGTCACTTGACTACGATGTCTCATTAATCTATTGCCAAGTCATCTTAAATATCCTACATTGGATGGAACTTAATAGATGAATTTTTTTTTTTCCTTTCATAAATTTATTACATTAATTTATATGTTAAGTTTTAAACTTAATACATGCCAACTATGAAAACTTTTTTTCTCCTTTAAATTTGTGGCGATAGCTTCCATATACTAGAAGATAAGAAAGCTAATTAAGTGAG